TATCTATCTATCTATCTATCTATCTATCTATCTATCTATCTATCTATGTGTGTGTGTGTAGTGTTTAGACACTTTTGCTGTAAAACAATACTGTATTAGATTTACGCTCATGCAGATTTAAGTATCTTAACACTTCCTCACAGGTGATTCAAGTCCTCCTGCCTCCACTCATGTCAAGCAGAGAGAAGGTTGCGCAAGAGTTCAATACAGTCCAACTGTAGAGGAGCAAAACAACATCTCCACCAAGGGTCTTAATGCTGATTTCATTATTCATTATGATGTGGACCTCAAAGATCCCATAGGTGATATCCAGGTCAGAAGAATATTCGTTTTTCGTACTATTTCATACTGATGCATATACAACTGTTAATTTGGTCTAATTAAATAAATTTGATTTTCTTTGGCATCAATGCTCAACTCCAGCTTTCTCCTCATGGTTTTAGGTGTATGATGGTTACTTTGTACATTACTTTGCGCCCAGAAAGCTTCCAGTAGTTCCTAAGGATGTTATATTCGTCATTGATATCAGTGGCTCAATGACAGGCACCAAGATAAAGCAGGTAATGTGAATAAAGTTAATGGATCTGTAAGTACTCGAGCTGCACTGACCATTTTAGGCAAAGAAATAGGAAAAACTTGCTAAAACATGCTAGTTTTCAGTTGAAATAGAATGGGTCAATAATTCAACTAATGTCTGTCAGTAGACCAAGCAAGCCATGAACACTATCCTTGGAGACCTGAGGGAAGGAGACCACTTCAACATCATCACTTTTTCTGATAAGGTTAACATTTGGAAAAAAGGACGAACAGTGCGAGCAACGCGACAGAATGTACGAGAAGCCAAAGAGTTCGTGAGGAGTATTCTTGCAGAAGGATGTGAGTGACAATTGTATGATCAGTTTGGGATTTTCATTCAAATATTGGCAAACATCTCTGTACATTAACACTTTTGCTATTGTTCCATACTGTTATGTCAGGGACTAATATCAATGCAGCTCTGCTATCAGCTGCCCAGCTGGTCAACCCCTCATCATCTGGACACTCTAGCCACCTTACATCTCATCGTGTCCCTCTCATAATTTTCCTCACTGATGGAGAAGCAACCATTGGAGTTACATCTAGTGATAGCATCCTTAATAATGCCAAGAGGGCACTGGGCTCGGCCACTCTGTTTGGCATTGCTTTTGGCGATGATGCAGACTTCCTTCTTCTAAAACGCCTTGCTCTGGAGAACCGAGGTGTTGCCAGGATGGTTTATGAAGATGCTGATGCTGCGTTGCAGCTTAAGGGCTTCTATGACGAAGTGGCAAGCCCTTTGCTGTCAGATATCCAACTGTCTTACTTGGATGACCAGGTGTTTGAAGTGTCCCGCTCTCTGTTCCCAAATTACTTCCAGGGGTCTGAATTGGTCGTGGCGGGGAGGGTTAAACCAGGGGTCAAAGAATTACAGGTCACAGTTTCAGCCACAGATTTAAAGCAGCCTATAAAGGTGGAAAATGATGTGCTTCTTTCTCAAGGAAAAGGAAATGGAAGAACTGGCTCACCAGACTGCTTGGAGAGTGTGGAAGGGATTCCCAGTTTTGTGCATCGTCTCTGGGCATACTTCACTATCAAGGAGCTATTACTGGCGAAACTTAATACTAGTGACCCTGCAACTCAAAGGTTACTAACAGACAAAGCCACTAACCTCTCCCTTAAATATAATTTTGTAACACCAGTCACCTCTTTAGTAGTTGTTAAGCCAGATGCGGATGAAGCAACTCAAATTCCAACCATTGCAAAACCAACAACTACTGCCACTACGACCACAGTAGCAACATCTAAGGCCAATGACAAAATATCATCTCTTGGCATTGCAAAGGAGCCCAGCTCACCATCTAACAAGTCAGTACCAGACCCACCTCAGCCTCCTTCAAATACAGTTAAGTCTAAAAAAAAAAAGCTACCATCTCCACGGACAGAAACAGCAACATTACAGCAAAAGAAAACAACAACAGCAACAACAACAACAAAGCCTAGTCCCATTAAAAGTTTCCCAACACGACACTCTAGAAAAAAGGCTAGTGTCGACCGAAACGATTCTAAAACCGGTTCTCCTCCTCCAGCTGGAAAGATATCCACTTCCCTTCTAAATACCCTAAAACCAGCACTGCCTCCTTCACCTGGAAAGGTTTCCACCCCAAGGCACATTGCTACTACTTTGCAGCCAGTCAATTCATCCAGAGTTGATCTTACACCTGGGAGAACCACAACCAAAGAGCCTAATCCTTTGCAAACAACTCTCCCCCCTGTCAAGATGACAGGGATATCGTCATATATAGAGAGCAGCACCACGTCTGTTTCAGACCTTCATCATCGTCCTGAAACCACTTCATCCCCACTTAAACTATTATCTACACTCACTTCTCCCACACCGGCTCCGGCTCCAGCTTTGGAAGAAAGCAACATAAACTCAAATGCCGACACAAATATTAGCATCGCTACCCTGGTGTCAGCTACTTTTGTTCCAATGCCTGGTGTAACAGATGGTCCGGGACTGTGGGAAGCAGCTCAGCTACTAGGTAGGTTGACAAAAATTCTTGTTTGTGATACACTGAAACAGACACACAATAAAAACATTTTTATTTTTCCTTAATTGAATGTTCTGTTTCTCTTTTAGATGTCTCCACCTTAATCCAGATTCAACAAAAAGGTATTTTATGCATACCTTACCCTGTTATCTGCCTTATACAACTATAATATATTGGCATAATTGAGAAATAATTTGAGCAAAAACTGAACATTTCTAAAATTATATTTAGAATGAAAACAAAAACGATAACATTACAAAATCCTAAATACCTACCAATGATATTCTTGACTTTTTTTTTCTGCTTTATAGATTTTGACCATTTGAAAGGTAAGAAGCTGCATTCAGGTTGTTATTCTATATGTATAACCAAATGACCATTTGTAAGCAACAAGTGCCCTGGCTTTACTATTTGCTTACCTCCATTTCACAGACTATGATGCAACTTACGGATATGACTATGATAACAGCTATGATTCTTGTAAGTTTTCTTATCTTAATCGCTTCGAGGAAAGTCTAAACCTACACCAGTTTTTAGGCTTGAGATGTTTTAAATCAAATATATCTACTTTCTCAGGGGATGAATTAGCAGAAACTGAGGCACTTGGTAAGTTTTTGAAGGATGCATGTATCTGATATTGTACAGCCATGATGCGCGCTGCAATACATGTCTAGTCCTGTCATTGGTTTCAGTGTTTGGGAGTGAAGAGGACTGTCCCTTAGTTGAATGTCTTGTGCTTTTAGACCGTCCAACCGGAATGAAGAGTGTCAGAGTGTTTGCCTCATCAGGTCAAAGGACATCTTTTTTAGTTTGAAAGTATACCATCAAAGATATTTGTTTAGTTTGTGTCCTCTAATTGTTTTTACCCTCAATGCCTTCTTAGTGGATGGAGATCCTCATTTTGTTGTCCAACTTCCAAAGCTGTCACAGAACCTGTGTTTTACAGTAGATGGCAGAGCAAATGATGTTCTCAGACTTTTGGAGGACCCAGAACGAGGTATATAAAGCTGTAATATTCATAGCTTTGGATAATCTGAATTTTATGGGAAAAAAATGTGTCACTATGTGTGTTTATGTGTCTTTTCCTCTTCAAGGGGTCATTGTGGATGGTCACTTAATGGGAGCTCCTTCCAAGCAAGGAGTAAAAGGCCGCTCTCGGACTTACTTTGACCAGCTTACTATCTCCGTAGCCACAGGCAACTCGGGTGACTTCATGATCACACTGTCACTTGATTCTGTGATAGTGGAAGGAGAAGGTCGGGATACCCTACCTGTAAATCAGCAGGGATCAGTGACAAGGCAGGGTGTGACTGTCACTGTAGATAACCATCAGAACTGCTGGATTCAACTGGCCAAGGATCTGCAGTTTCTTGTCCTATTCCACTACTACAAAGACCCCAGCTACCTGCAGTTGGCTCACCTGGGCTTTTATATCGCAGATGGACGGGGATTGTCAGACTCAACCCAAGGCCTTCTGGGTATGCAAAATAAGCTTTTAAATATCAGATCCCACAGAAAAATATGAATGCCACTCAGTGTTCCTGGCAGAATAAGTGTTCAGATCCTTTTTTTGGTAGACATACATAGAAAGTAAGGTGAAATCCCCAGATGGAGCTAAAAGTCACATCATTCTCATTACAGTGATTTCACCATACTTTGTCATGAAAACAGATAAAAACCTGTTGTGTCAGTGTTAGTTGTAATGATGTAACAAAATAGTTAGTTATTTTTCCTAAACCTAACCTAAAAGATGTGACTGTAACAGTGAAAACAGCGAGTAAAAGGTATATTGAACATGAAAAAAGTAAAGGGGAAAAATATTACTTTCACAAACAGCTCTTGAGCGAAAGTTTTATGTTGATTAATAACTTCCATTACTTACTTATCAAAGGAAGATTACCTTACATTTATGTATTTTTAAAAAAAAGCATTAATTTGACTAGTTAAATTGAATTTGTTAGAGAAGTTGCTTTGATTTTAACAGTTGTTCTTTACATACCCTGCAGGCCAGTTTCAGCACGCTGACATTCGTGTAATGTTGAAAAATGATCATCTCGACGGAGGTGCTCACCCAGCTAACGCGGAGGAAAACGTAGCAAGGGGTACGATGATGTGGGGAACGGAGCAGATACCAGTAACCTTACAGGACAAGATGCTGAAAGACACTTTGCAAAAGCGCCACCAAGGGAAATGCTGGGTGGTGCCAAAGGCAGAGGTTGAGAGACTCCTGGGTCATTCCTATGAAAGCTACGTGGTGAATCATGTGGACCTTTAGGCGAGTTAGCTCCAGCTTTTCTCTCTTCGTCACAGCTCGGGTAACAGCGGATATAATAGCACAACTATCAGACAAAGGATGAAATCAGGCAAAAATGTCATATTGCGATGCGACTGTTACTGACTGAGATTTTATATGAAATGCAGTTGGCAGGCGAGAGTATGTTTGGTTGGACACAGTGAAAAAGAAACTAGATATAAAGAAAAAATAAAGATATACAGTTGCTGAATTGTAGGACTGAGTAGTTCCGCTATGCCCTATCACTGGAATTAGGCTCTGTATTCTGTATCTTTTACAGAATATGTCCTAAACACAAATCCTCTTCACAAGTTGTTTATCGGATTAGTTTAATTTTCCATCTAAATTGTTTAGATCATTAGATTGTCTTTCAGAAAAACTGTGATGATAATGAATTGTATTATTATATAAGCTGTACATTTTAGTATGCAAGTGTATGTAAAATATAATTTCTACAGATAATCCTCCTAAAGTGATACTCTGATGATTGCATCTTTATAATGACACAAGAATCCAAGTCGGGATCTTTCCAGGTTTGCCATGTGCTTTTTATTTTTCTATCATTTCATTCATAGTTTAATTCATTGTATTTGTTACACAAGACATTAGGCATTTTTCACATACTAGTGATCAAACAAAGACATTGTTTTCTACTACTCAACCTCAACTATTTGTTTTTTCAGTTTCAAGGGATACTGTTAATAGTGGTTTTCAAAGGCCATATTGGATGAAAATTAAAACAGTACAACCACATGAGGCTTTTGTTCTCAATGAATAAAAAACAATGAGAGTACAATATCAGATGTTGAGGAAGAATGAGAGAAAACATAAGCCTCAAATATAAATATGGTTCAGGGCTTTTCCAGTTTTTGTAGTTTCCAGGATGAAGATCATACATAAATGACGTCAACTGTTGCACAGTGTGAAACTGCTGTGTATACAAAGCTGTTTGTGTTTGATTTTGGCTGCTGTTACCCTCTCATCAAAACCTGTTTATTAGGAGTGCATATACAACACTAAACCATGGAATGATCACCGAATAAGGTAAACATAACACAACACAGCAACGAAAAAAGTCATGTGTGCATCAATTTTAAAATAAATGTCATCATTAGATGATAAATCTATGAGCATAGCATATCCGGCATTCAGCAAACCTTCCTACAATTCGTCAGCGTAATTCAAATAAATATATCAAAATTATAAGACACATCAGCACCCCAAACACAAAAAAGTTTGTTTAGAGTTGTTAAGGGATTGGTCATGATTGATAAAGTAAAATAAAACTACTTTTGAAGCATGTTGTCTGTTTGTTATATTTATGTGTAACAAGGTCAGCCAAAATTCAACTGGGCAAGTGTGCGGCGCACAGATACAAGCAACTGTGTGCTAAAACCATGGAGTTAGCCTTGCACACATTACAGAGGTGAGCTTTAACTATTGCCAGCAAGCTTTGCCAATAACAGAAACACCATTTTTGGCACAAGGCTTACCTGCAACTGTTTGTAATTTGAAACAAAGCAGTCAATATTTTTTAGAGGGTCAAACCATTTGAAGTGGACCTGGAATCAAGGCTAAAACCAAACACAAATAATCTCGGTTTATTCTGAAGGAATGCACTTGTTACTCTGGCTTCATACTTTTGTGATACCATAAAGTCTTAAAATAATGGGAGTAACAAACTTTTCCTACTATTTATTACCATGGCTGATAACTTATCTTAAGAACAAACACAATCTGTGCTTTCACCGTGACTTGAAATTTCAGTCTTCATCCTCGAAAGTCAAAAGGGACTCTTTCCACAAGTCAAAACCACAGCATTGACTATGTATTTTACTTTCCCAGAATCACACTTTCTTCCATATCAGTGAGTTCTTTTCCCTAATTTCAACACTTCTAAAGCCCTTCATAGAAAGCCTCGGTTAACAGTACACAAATACTCTCCATGAATCCATTTCTCTCGACATTCCCTTTTTAATTTTTAACTTGAAGACCACAGTTTTAACCACTGCTAAGTAAACTTCATAACTTCAGCCAGTGAGGTGCGCATCCTTCATACAGAAATAGAAGTTAAAGAAATAAAACGTTGGAAAGCATACTAACAACACAACACAGAAAAAAAATAACCGGTGTTTTTTTTTTTGTGTGTTTGTTTTGTTTTGGGATGGGTGTGACAGTTAATAGCAACCTGTTAGCTTGACTGCTAGCAAAGGGAACACTAAAAAAAGCACTATCAATGAAAATAGCCCATTTACATGTCACTTTTCATCACATTTTTGCCCAACCAACAGATTTTGCCAAAAAGGAATGGCATCTATTTAAATTACGCAGATCAAGCAAGAGAAAAGTAAAAGCAGGGTTGATAGGAGTGTTTAGTGTGGAATGTTCCATCCTTCATACTTCGGTGTCTTTGAGTTTATGTACAGTATTAATGTGTGTGAAAGATGCATGCATGTCACCAAAGGATTCTACTCTAAGTCAAAACAGATCTCATGTCAGATCTTACAGACCTCAACCTTGCCGTTAACCTCCCATTTACTCAACGTTTGATATGAGGAGAAAGACAATACAGAAAGAATGAAATGCTCGGCAACAAGTTAAAAATTCACCTTGAATGATAATGGTTAAGACATGATTATACTTTAAATTCTACAATGGAATGAAAGACCTTATCAACCCTGCTTTTCACTGCCAGAGAGAGAGGGAATGTGAGTCCTTGTAAAGCGTGTTTGCGTGTGTTTGTGAGCATTTACGTGTTTGAATGTGTGAGTTCAGACAGAAAGGGAGAGAGAGAGAAAGAGAAAAGTTAAGGAAATGGGGGCAAACAGCTGAAGAGAGGCAGAGCCCACACACAAACACACACACACACACCTTTATCCAACGGGCTTACACTTCCCTCCTATCCGCCCACCCCACCTGTTTGTTTTAAAAGTACTGTTCAGTCTGTTCAGTCTATTACAGGACCTGCAGTCTCTCAGCCATTTTTTTCGCTCCCATTTCCTTTTTCCCCTGCCCTCTCTCAGAAGCCCCTCTACCCTCACTGCTCATCTTCCCCAAAAACATCGTTCTGTTTGCGTTTCATGTTCTCAAAGTCAAAGTCGGTCCCGGTCATGCGCTTGTAGATGTCCTTGATGTCGTTGCAAGTGGTCTCAAAGTGAGTTGTAGCATCGTAGGAGCTTGATGCAAAGACCTGCGTAGGATAGATAGGCAATAATCTGAGCCTTGAAAAATACTTGGGAAACTTTAAAAGTGTAATCATACTGTAAATACCATTATGCTATAATGTTAACATAAGAATAATCAAAAGTTTAAAAAGAATTAAAAAAAAAGAAATGATCCCTTTGGGAACTGTGATTTCCCATTCAAAATATGTAATAACTCATTTAAAAATTATGATTATAAAGAAGCAAAGTCTTAAGAAAGTGACCACAAATGCATATGAAAAATTTAACAACAGAAGTATATCAAACCCTTCCTTTACCAAGCAGTCTAACACTGATATATGAGCTATAAATAGCATGTAACTTGAATAATAAATGATTTACCTGGCTCTCAGTTCCATCATCTGTGGGCTCATAGAGGTCACTAATAGCCACAAACCTATCAAGACATGTTTAAAAAAGTTCTGTTAAAGGACATCCTTCTTTTTTAAACTATACATGCACAAAATATCGACTAATAGGTAAAAAATGGCACAGACTTTTGGTCAATAGGCTCCAGCAACTCGAGAGCGGGCTCGATCTCAGTCTCAGGTTCGCTGGTTTCCACTGTGGTGCTGACGATGGCAATATATTTCCCCTGGGCCGCCACATTGTGAGCGTAAGAGATCATGCACACATAGATATCTGCGGAATTGACAAAAGGGTCAGACAAGAAAGTTCATTAAGAATGTCAGGTCACTTAAGGAAGCAAAAACATATGAGGTTTTAAGTTTATACTGCCCGTTTAGCTCTGAAAAATAAATAATCTGAACAGTTTTTCAAATCTCATTTGACCAGAACAAAGGCTTTTTCCAGCCTGGGCCAGCACCTGTTACCTTCAGGTGACTGCCAAGCATTCTGAGATATCAACATATTATCCCTGTTATTACTATTATTCTATAGTAAAATTAGCTTTGGATGCACACCCAGTCATTGGCATTCAATCCCATTTAAATTTGTGACAGGGAGTATATTGACTATGATTTCAAAGGTCCCATGGTCTTTTGGTGCCAAAGAAGCTGTAATAAACAAATGTTCAAGAGAGGCTTTGGTTTTTTTGTATGGGTTTTTGTTAAACACAACAAACAAAGCATCTTTTCAATCACTTTAGCATCATGTCTGAATCAAATCCAGTTTGTTGTCCTCAGAGGACAACATTGAGTAATGTAATTTACATTTGAATGATCTATATCTAATAACCCAGTATATTTAACACCACTAAAATTAATGTAATTTCATTTTCCAGTAATTCTACATTATAGAAGAGTGCCTACGTTAAGCATGGTTGAGTTTAATGTTTAAATGTAATCAAGCTTGTACTAAAAATTAAAAAATTGTGTGTGTAATGAACATACAGAAGCCACAGCAAAATCTTTTTTTTTTCCAGTATTCGTCACCTGCTGGATCTACAAAGTTTTTTTTATATTCTTCAGAGCTTCAACCAGCAGACAAAAGCATACAGGACGAATTCATCATCACTGAACTATTTAGAAAGTGCTTTGTTCGGCAGAATAGACTCACTTATCATGATTTAAACACTGTGAAGAACAAAACCAGGGCTGATAACCACAGTCATGATACCGACTGTGTCAAATACGAGTTTTGTCAAGTTTTGTTAAGCTGCTAGAGCTTAGAGAACGTCTTAGCCTTTATATTACGGTCCTTACAAAAGATTTATGTGAATTTGGAGATTGAGATTTGAAAGGAACTGCATAATTGACAGAACCCCTGCTTATCAGGCAATTAAAATATAAATACCGGTACTATAAATATCATATCATAAACGTATAACACCTTTCTATGAGATGAAAATGTAGAATTTGCAAACTGCTTGATCTCCATGGGAATAAGCCTTTCCGAAAAAAATCTATTCACCGACAAGAAGTTGTACATAATTGCCATCAGTTTATCACCCTGGATATTTGTCGAAGGCACTGCTCACCTGAGTTACGGTTGACCTGATTCTGGGGGATGATGATCTGGCAGGAGTTGGAGTCATTAGTGTTTTTGATGGGATGGCTGAGGATGCAGATCACACGGATCACCTGACCCGCCTTGCGGACACGGTCCGGGATGTAACTGGGATCACATATGAGCTGCTTGCAGCGAGCCACCTTTAACAGGGACGAGGCAACGATGTAATGCGCAGACAGCTTCAAAAAGGGTACTTAGGCAAATGAAGTCACTGTGTATCAATCAATGTTTGCTAAAACATTGCGTAGCCATACCTCACCCTCAGACTTCACTCCAATTACTTTGCCACCCTCCATCACTATCTCTTCAACTGGTTTGTTCAGCATGTAGGTTCCTCCATAGATTGCACTCAACCTGACACAACAAGACAACTGTTTTTAATTTCTATGTTCATTTAAGTTTTATTGTTACCATCATATTAATTGCTAGTATCATTAAAATACCTGGCAAAACCCTGTGGCAGTTCTCCCAGCCCATACAGGGGGTAAAGGTAGGGGCTCTTTCCATAGCGTGCCAATGATTCACTGTACAGTTTGATACGGTTGATCGTCTCCAAACAGGGAACATCAAGATAGCTGAGAGCAAAAAACTGAGAATGAGTGCATGAGACCTTCAAAACGGCATAGCAAATGACTCCGAACATACATATGAACTTGTAATACATGCCTGAGTAACAGTATTTAACCAGGTGTCATTTAATTGTACAGTCTTTCAGGAGTCTCTTTCACACATCGATTGAGGCACGAAAAAAAGGCATCCTCGTTAACCCACTGCTAACACGCATGACTAACAGAGGAATCTTATCCCCGCACTGGTGTGTCATCGGTCATCATTAAAACAGCTGAGTGACAACCACATCTCTGGTCAGAGTGGCTAGTCCTTCACATTGATATTACCACACATGGCTAAGGGACTACTCTGAATATCCTTTGAGAATTTTTTTTTTAGAAGCCTCTTTAGCTCCACTGCAACAAAAACAGTTGCAAGAGGTAATTCGGGTCCATGTCAGAATGTCACAATTGACCTTTCTATTTAGAAATAAAACTTAATTATACATAGTTTTTTTTACGAGCAGCTAAAATAATAGCCTTTTTTTGGAAATGACTAAAACAAGCTACATGATGAAGTGGTGGTAAGCACTGTTGTCTCGCAGCAAAAGTTTGCTGCGAGACAAATCCTTTTTGTACAGTAAAGAACATGCAGACAGCCTATAGGCTCTTTAGAAGTACTATGGTTTTCCTTTCCTTGCCCCAAAACATGTATGTCTTTAAAATGACTGTATGAGTAAGTGTGAGTGCATACTGGCCCTGTCTTTATCCAAATGTTTGCTAGAATAAGTTCGAGTGCCCTTTAGAAGATCAACTGATTCAATTGGGTATAGAAAATGGACAGATGAATTAATCGATTATTAAAAGATTGTTCAGTTAAATAAATTTCCCAAAGAGCAATTTTACAAAATATTGGCAGATCTGGTTCTTCATTTCATGAATGAAATTACACTATGGGAAATATGCCAAGAATGACAAGAGGCTCAATACTTTTTTTTTTTTTCAAGACAACATGTGAGCATTACTTACTCATCTGTCCTGTAGAGGGCCAAAGCGTGGCCAGTGAAATCTATGACATCCTGACCGAGGTCAAATTTCTTGTAAACATCCCTCATTGTGGTGGTTTTAGGGTCAACACCCTCAAAAGTCTTGGGGTCGTTCTCATCAAAGTTTGCCACAAAGACTAAAAACTTACGAAACCTTCGCTTCTCAAACATTCCCATCAGATCTGAAAATTCAAACAAAGCCCCCATTAACTGACATGAAAATAATCATTTAATTCTACATGCTATTCTAGAGACATAAATCAGTTGTCTTACTTGAAGCCAGCGCCTCAGTCTCAGTTGAGGGCACCTTATAGATCTTTCCTCCTTTGTAGACAAAACTTCCCTCCACGACTTTAAAGTCAAGGTATCTTGTCACTTCTGTGTATAGCAGCATCTTCACAAGTTGACCTTAATGACAGAAATTAATTCTACTTAAAATTTGAGATAAAGGCTCAAAATAACAGGTGGCAGTCTTTATAGCGACTCATTTAAAGAAGTTAATACTATCTCCCTTCTACCTCGCATCCTAAATTTTACAGAGCTGAATAGTACACATAATAAAAAATTGTAAATGCATATATATTGATTGTAATCTCACACTCACCATTGGCCATTAGAAACTTGGGAATTAGATCAACATTCCAGTCTCTTCCTCTGCCCATTGACTCAGGCGGACTATCTGGGAGACTAAAGCGCTTGTACAGCTGTGGGAGAGGACAGGAATGAGGGACATCAACATAAAATTTATGAGGCTCACTATCTATAATGCCAAGGCCGATAGAATCACATATACGGAGAGACACAAAAACAAATATATTGTTTTCATAGATCCAAGAGCACTGTACCTCCTCAAGGGGTGTGATGGAAGAACTCTCCCCTCCATAGTAAGGGTTCCTGTCCATATGAAGCACCTTCTTCCCATTCACAGACATGATCCCCGACAGAATGCATTCCTACATGAAAAATAGATTTAACAAACGAACTTAGAACACAAAATACACAAATGCATACACATGTGTGTATATATATATATATATATATATATATATATATATATATAATGATATAATGATTATTCTAATAAAAAATAATAAAAAGATGGACATTGATAAGTCTATTGTGAAGATGACTCTAATGTCATAATCCATATGGTATAATCCCTCGTTTTAACATCAACAAATCGTATGTCTAACAGAGAGAATGCGTGTTTGCTTGGACGGAACCGTATGCGCATGCGTTAAAGGTTGGTCTCACATACACACACGTACGCAAATATAATTTTCAGATATGTTATAGATAGTGACAGTAATGATTTCAATTACTTTTAATATGCCATGCATGAACAAATAAAGAAAGGTTTAACAAAGAGAACAACCCAAACCTTTTTTTAAACTACAAAACGTCGACATGTATTACATGGTTAAATACTGTATTTTATTATAAGCGAGTCCGGCGCATTTTCTGACGCATTGGGTGTGTGTATTAAAGGTAATCGCGGCGACAGTCTGAGCAGTGAACAAACCCATACTGGGGCCTGCGCCAAGCTCAGGATGAAGGCCTGGCTAATGCAAAGAGGACCATGACACACTAGGGTTACGCCTAAAAGATGCTACAGGGTGTAACGCTAGACCAAGTCATGCATGGGCTTCAGAAATAAAAGAGGAAACAAAAAAAAAGTCAAACAAAACACGACCCTAGATGATTTGCTTCCTTCTTCTGACACATTAGATCGAAAGCTGCAACATTTTTGCGACATTTCCAGAGAGCATCTTCCATCATTTCTCTAATGCCACAGCAAAAACAGATGCAGGAGGCTTTCGCTCCTGTGGAGAGGAGGGAGGCAAAAGCGAACCTGTCCAAAGGGTTTAACCATCATCTCGATTTTTTCTGCAACAAATCTGCTCTGGTGCTTTACAAAACGAGGCTTGACCACTTACTGTAAGTCCAGTGCCCAAAACGATCACATCATATTCCTCATCCATGTTGTATCACCGTCTCTCCCGTCTCGCCCTCTTTTTTTTTCCTTGAGAATTGAAGGGTACTTAAGGAAAGAATAAAGTAGATCAAAGCGCAAGGGGGGTATTTTCCCTTTGTGAGGCCAGCTACTTTTAAAAGGTTCTTCAAAGTTAAATTATATTTATTTTTCATCAGATATTAATGGCCAATGGAATATATCGTCCACACTGTCACCGGCGAGGACGACCAAAGATGGCCCTGATCGTGAAACACTACAGGACAACGTCGTTGCGCGACGGGAAATAGTGCGCATCCTCTTTCTCTCTCACTCTCTTCCCACTTTGGAACACAATAGATTCAGACTAAAAGTCTGTCTGTAGACGGAAACACCGGTTTCGGTGGATCTAAACTTTTTTTTTTGTGCGCCGTTAGTTTTGTGCAACGGTTAAAATAGACTCTCGATAATTGTTTTGACATTTTACAGCTGACCAAGTGTGTGGTCTATATTTCTTTTCTGTCTTCCCTTCCCAGTTGTAGGCGCAGCGTTGCGTGGATGCGGGCGGTGGTATCCATCCGCCGCCACAGCTGTGTGGGTCATGATGGGAGTTGCTTTCACTGACCTGAGACGCAGCCCCTTCGTTATTTTTTGATGAATGAAACATTTTACATGAGCATTTTGTTACATTTATCAGAAAATGTCAATCAACAATTATGGGCCAGAGTAATAACAGATGTAGGCCAATGTCAACATGGGAGTGTCTCAGCACCATGGGCAGTTCCCAGGCTGCTTCAGAAAATTAATGACAGGACACTAGTAGAATATACAGCTCACAAGGTATATTATGACATCATCCTATAAAGCATGAGGATCAATGAATAGTGTACAATCTGTTCGGTCGCATACTTGACTGGAAGAGTATGCGGCAGATTTACCGCGGAAAGAAGTTTGCTCTGTCCACTGGTTAATTAAAATTAAATAATACCAGAGCACTTTGTGGGACAAGAACTGAATAAAAAGAGAGCAAAGCTGAATGAAAAAGCAGCCAGGGGCTGGGTAGAATGAACGAAAGAAGCAGGAAGTCCTGCAGCATTGCACATGACTGTCAGCTGGTTGGAGTCACGTGATCCGAGTTTCACGGAGACCTAAACTAAAATGGCAGGAAAGAAGTTATGGGGTGGAGGGCGACTATTCGCTTTTATTTTCTTTATCCTCTCCCGTTTACCTTCGGGGGCAGCCACTCCACAAGTGCCATTTCTTATGTGGTCCAGCGAAGGGTAATATTAAATTAAATTTACACTCTACATTTTCTACATTTAGCTCACGCTCATGCTAGCAGTCTACCATCATGCTAACGCTAACATTTAGAGGCAGTTAGTTAGTTTTCTACTAACTTAACTTAATCGGCATTTTATTGCAAAACATGTAGGAACGTTAACAGGGGGGAGAATTAGTCTTTTATTCGGAGTAGAACAGGGAATTAGTACTGTTGTACAGCGTTTGGTTAAAGAAAAACTCGGGAAATGGAAAGGACTGATAGTTTAGGTTTGTACTGTGGCTAGGTAAAAGTTGACTAGCTAACAGTTGTCGTTCTGTCATTTGGAGCTACATTAACCTGATAAGAAAGACAGTGGTGAAAGGAAATATTTATGTGACAATACGGTTTGGGTCAATCTGGAAAAATGACATGCTGTTCTGGGCTGTATAAACTTAACACATTAATTTGAATGGACACAAACGTATTTATCCATCCATCCAGAAAATCTGGCTTATTGTTTTCTGTTTGTATTTCAAGTTTACTGGATGGGACCTCACACACAGCTGGCCACATAACATCCAATGAGGAGCTGAAGGCCTACCTCACCTCGGTCTTTGACTCTGGCTCCCACACTGTGCTCATGTTTCTGCAGGACAAGGTCAGAGCCTACTACAAGAAAACCCAATTCTTGTCAAGTAGGACAGGTTGCATAAATGCAATAACAAAGATGAATTTTGCATACTAGCGTTAGCTCTGCATACCCATGGGACACCTTAGTGTTGCTATTTTGGTGTGACAATGGTACGACTTCCTGTTTCACAGTTCCTTGTGGAGGCTACGTAAAACAGGAAGTTGAGCCATTGTCACACCAGAATTAGATACTTATATATATTGTTATTAGTATTGGTACTATTGTTTATTATTGTTTGACTGTTTTAAAGGGTTGGATCTCATTTGAAGGCTGCATATGTTAATGCTTTGTATTTGTGTTTAGTTAAGCAAAGATGACTTCACAGTTTTTGGTGGAGTGTTTGGAAACAAGCAGGAAAGTGCCTTTAAAAAACTAGAGGTAGGTTCTGGATGAATAAGTTGTTTCCCATTAAACGTTGACTATTGATAGTGAATTAAAAAAGGATTCTTTGTTCATCTTTGTTTCTAGGCTGCACTTCAGTCCTCTTCTTCAGTCGTGACCCTTCCAGCCTTGGAGTGGGCGGGCCTGTCCGGTGCCCCCACTCTGCTTCAGGATGTGCTTGGTGTTCCCCCTCTGCTTGTCGATGTGGATACTCTGTCACACCTGAGCATCAACAAATCTGCCAACAATCTTCTGCTCATCAATCTACCCTACTGTCACAAGTGAGACTTTTAGTTTTTCCTGAAACATTGTAGGTCATTTTTTATATTTCAAAATTGAGACGCTGACAAATACTTACTCTCCTTGTTTATCATTTTACAGTACACACAGGTTATGCAAGGAAGTCCTACATGACAATGGTATGTTGAAACTGTTAAAGTCATGCTAATCATTTTGGTCAGTATTTTGTTGTAATCAGCATCTATACATGACCCAATTTTTATTATTTGACTTGATTATGTTTTGCTGTCCACAGATGAAGTAATTGGGAACATTCTAAGTTTCCTGAGAGCAAAAAATCTTCCATACACTGCCATATACACCGGACTCGAGCCTTCAAGAGTAAGATCCTATTATCCTTTTTATATAAAACACAGTCTTGTGAGAGAAGAAATACACTCCTTGTGCTTATATTGTTTTAAATTTCACCACACGATGGATAGTTATCAGACCATTACCTAGTTTTAAAACTAAGATAATTTTGACTTCAAGCAAATGATGATATGTAAATTGTTAGTAATTTTTATAGAAAAAAAAATAGCTGAAATACATAAGATATCCAATACTGTCTGTAGAAATAAATAAAAAATAGAAGGAGCCAGGCACTCCTAATAACATTATTTTCAGTGACTGATCATTAGGAAATTGTGACACTTCTACAACGGTTAGAAAAAGCTGAGTTTGGTTTTGGAAAATTCATCAGCACAAGGAGGAACAATGTCAGCAGCAATCTTAAGGGGCTTTTCCACTAGCATCTTCCCAGCATGAGTCAGCTGTACTTGTTTTTGTTTCTTTTACACTTCCAACAGGGGTTGGCGCCAAAAACATTTACAATTTTAGCTTTTCCGAGAGTTTCCAAGTGGGCTGAGTCAAATCAATGGCAGACAGCTGTCCCCAGTCATGAATGCGATTCCATAAAAAACCTGCCTATTTTAAATCTGTGGCAAGTCGTAAATCCCACTTAATTATTTCTGTTATCAGTATTGTAAGTGCCTAATACACTAACCGACACCTAGGTTCAGCTGGTATGTTTTTGCCCGCAATTGTTCTTCATTGCTGCTCCGTGGTTGTGTTTCATAAAAATAACATCATGAGTCAATCAGCCCATTTTTCTCTCGCAAGCAGAGCCGAGTAGGACTAAGTATGTAACCTTCTCTAAAAACCTAATTAAAAACATAATTGTTCATTATTAGTCTAGGAAAGATTAAAACCCCAACTCCAGATACTTTGGAGTCCGTCATTCTACAGTGAGAAAAATATTTGAATTGAAATTCAACCCAATGTGAGACCATGCAGTTGTGATAAAAAATTCAATTTCAGGATCCTCAAAACATGGCAGTGCAGCTTCAGTTTGCACATATGTCTCCCATCCCAGTGCTCCAGGAACAATATTCGTAGGACTGACAAGCTGAGGTGTTTTTCATGCAAAGTGCCATGTGTGGCAAAAACAAAGCATAGCAAATCCCATCTATCAACTAACTATTGAAGGGCTGATGATTGTTAACGGGTTGTTTGGAAGGCTGGAGGTTGTTCATCCTAGGTTTTATTTTCTTCATCTTAAAACCAAGCAAGGACTAGACCAGACTTTTCCATATATGTTAGACTTAGAAAGCTGAAAAGGTGTTCAATTTTAAAAGGTTAGAGCTTTTGTATTACTTTACAGGTAATTTCAGAATCGTCGGTGTCAAACCAACAAGGGGGCAGGTCTTTACTACAAGCAGTTGACCCTGACATAAAGCCACCCATCATGTTTAATCAGTCAGGCAATCCTTGCATAATGCTTTGGGCTCAAAATCTCAATGTCAGCCTCACAAGCACCTCAGAATGGGTCGACCTTGCACAAGATACCCCAACATTGACAGGATCCATGTGTAACAACAGTAACGCAGTGTAAGATGATCCTTTTATAATTTCCCAAAAATATTCACTTGAGTATTATTTAAAGGAAAGAAATAATAATACTGTATTATGTTTTCTCTCTTAGGCTTGTCCTCAATTATGCATCGGGTTACATTCTAAGGTAAGGCAATAAAGTATGTCTGTGAATCTAGAGTCTAAATACATCGTTGAGGATTATTCTTAATTATCTAAATATAGATGTTAATAGGTAAACATTAACTTCATATATTTATTCAAAAGTGTTTTTCTCAATTGTAAAAATGATGCGTGGTGTATTGCTCTGATTTATTTTGACCGATGCAGTCATTGTCCTTGTTTTTGATCCGCAGTTTTACAATGACTCAACGGTTCTATCCAGTGTCCGCACGAAACTGGTTCACTCTGGACTCTGTGCAGCTACAGGTGAACAGTTTAACAGCTTCTTTTACGGGAAGAAGGGGTATTTACGCCCCTGTAGAGTATTCCTTCCACTGCCAGTCCGTCAACAACTTCAGAGATGCCCTGCTCGTGCCAAACGGCTCAAATCAAACCTCCTCCCAGCTGAGGCTTAATTTCATTGACTTCCAGGTACAAGCTTTGCACTGCCACCAGTGTTGCAATACTGCTTTGTTTTTTACTTACTTTTTATTTTTTTTATTTCACTTTTTAAATTAGGTAATGAATTTTACCAATACTGTGTTTCTGTTGTAGATCCAGGGCTTTGGTTTGGCCAATGGAACAAACTTTTCCTATGCCAGTGACTGCGCGGGCTTCTTTACTCCAGGGATTTGGATGGGGCTGCTCACCGCACTGCTGATGCTCCTCATTTTTGTGTATGGTCTGCACATGATCATGCAGCTTAACACTATGGATCGATTTGATGACCCCAAAGGTCCATCAATTTCAGTGCCTCAGTCGGAATGAAGTGTTTCTAATACACAAACATACACACTCTGGTATGCCTAAGTGCCCCCCTAGTAAGTTGCCTTTATACACGTGGACCTTTTTGAATCTTCTTAGATTCTCTTCTGTCATTGTCTCTGCTCACTCTCTCCTGGATTTCGAGTGCCTATATCTCCCATTCCACATTCCACTTCTTCTCTCCCTACATGTGCCAAAATTGATGCAACTTTTACAATTTCATTTTGAGTGTACACGCTTAAAAATGTGCCATCTACTGTTTTTATTTCCCATTAAATAATTTGCCCTCGACCAAAGAATGCTTCTTTGTTAAAATTTGTGTGACTGCTCAATGCTGTTGGATCATCACAGAACTAATTTCTGTATTTTGGTTTTCTCCCAACTAAAATAGGATTACTTGTATTGAAATAAGTGTCTGTATATAGTATGCCACTTATGACGTGCTCTGAAGTAATGCTGTTCTGGAACTGCCCCCCCAACAGAAATACAATCCATCCCACTGTTTTAAGTTGCGTGTTTACTTATCGGAGTTTAATCATACAAGTTAACTGCGATAAAATGTTGTCTTGACAAGTAATTTATTTATATGATGTACTTTCTCCCCTGAACGTGCCTGTAAAGTTTACCCTTAGGGAAAGGGTCATGAGCTGATTTAATCACTGTGCCTAAGTTTTGTCCATGATATTAATGTTCAGCTGCCATGATGAGTTTGTCTTAACTTGTAAATGAAGAGATCTATACATTTATTGAAGGAGATCAATTTTTTATGGTCTGCTATTTGGATTAAAATGTTGTATTGTGGGGTATTTTGTTGACTGTTTTATTGATTAAACAATATCAAACTGTCTAAATACAAGTCCGTTTTATTGCAATATTGAAAGCTACCCAAAGGGAATGTTCATTAACTCTCCTCAAATAAATTAATATTGAATATAGTGTCAATATTTCAACTGCAATCATTGGTGAATTGACGTCTCAGCATTTTGACGTCACCTCTAACCCGTGTTGCCACGGTGACGAATCAAAACTCCTGCGAAGGGCGAGCAAACGCCAGTGCACAGGCTTTTTTAACCCCCTTCTCGACGAATTATTTTTCAAATGCCAGCGGTTTCGGCTCCTAAGTTAGCATTTGGCAGTACCCAGGATAGGAAACTTTTCCCAGTCCATTACGCTCCAGACCGACTGGGAAACGAGCTTTCACGACAGACAGAACCACATCTCGGCCCAGGCTGCCATGACAACCATGAAGTAGGTATCTTAAATCTTATACGGTGTTTTGGTTTGTTTGTTTGTTTATTAATGCTTCGAAGATTTTATATGAATTAACATGTTATGTACACGTAAAGGTTTTAACTTTTATTTAATTTTTAAAATTAAAGAGATTTTTGTTGTCCCACTACTCCAACACACGCCTTCTATTTTTATTTCCTTTAGTTTGGCACCATTATTTACAACTTAGAGAAGACCCCTGGGAGCAAGAGAGGATATGGCCTCTCCGCTAGGACAGCGGTTCGATTTCCATTGTGTAACAAGGCAGGTTGCATCAAATTCTTTTCCAGTGATTGATCAAATGAAAGAGGCCAACTATTCTTCAGTGACACCTCTGTCAGATGTGAAAGAATATGAGCTTCTAGTAACTATTAAGTTGCATCGTGAGATATCTGGAGTTTGGCTTACATTTTTTAAACAATTTTGATCAATCACATTTCCATCGATGAGCCTTTTGAAAGTCTGATGAGTAATTGTAATTCATATTCAACGTCTCCCCAGTCAGCGACCCCTTCACCACAGCAATATCAGCCCGACCAAAGTAAATTAAAGGTCCTTCCTCCTGGAAAATTTCCTTTCAGCTCAACCACACAGAGATTCCAATGTGCGCCATGTACAGCTAGAGACACTCCTGGGTGAGGAAGAGATAAGTAGCCAGATTTAACCGTTTAGAGTTTAACTGAGTTGACAAATTTTGTGATGCAGCCCTGGAAGCTATGCTCAGGAAGCAGTGAGAAACAGAAAAGTCAGTTGGCCAATGAGGTTTGGGAGCCCAGACTGGTCCAGACTACCCCAGCTCCAGAAGAAGTCACTCAGGGTGAAGGTGAGTGATATACACCAATTAATAGTCTTAATTTTTTTAAATTCATATAAAATCCACCAATTTGAAATCTATTCTTTTATCATGATCTATTTTAATTTTTTTATTTGTTGAAAATAATTAGTCATTACTAAGCGATAATTAAGAGTAAATATAGTGTTTTTCTCCAGCCACGACAGTGCAACGCAGCCCAGATCTAGAAAGAATTATACAAAATTAAGCTTTGGTGAACGATTACATGACAAGGGCTTGGTGCTAAACCATTTTCTATTATCAATCTTGTGTTTTTCATGAATCCCTCTTTTTGGGATACTGTTCTGCATTATGACTTTTTTAATCAAACATTGACAAGAAAACACATTTGTTTTACAAAAAGGATATAGTGGTGGAGACTTTCAATTATGATACTGTTTTTAATCTTTATTTTTTCTTAATCTGGTGACTGACAAAACTAGTGGTTTTAAAATGACTAACCGAGATGTCATGATTGACTTCTGACTCATTCTAGTTTAGGTTGTCCTATTAAATAACCCTTAAATTGGGAACGGGGGCTTATGAGATTTCCATAATTGATCACGCAATTATAAATAACTGAAATATGTCTGAATTTCACAAAATTTCAGTTTCTGAACAAGAAAATTACCTGCTTATAACTTTGTTTTGCAATACACAGACCTTTTTATGTCGTTCAAATATAAACACAAATGCTCTTTTTCTGTTTTTTCTCCCAAGCTAACCGATGAAAGGGAGTTCCAGAAACGGAGGAATCGACTGGCCTATCTGAGTTTGTACTACTAGTGAAAGATTAAACTCATCATGAAAACATCTTATCACATTTTTTTTAAATTTGAATGTTACGTTACATAAAGCTTGTAAAAAAATGTTGTTTGCTTAATGAATAAAACAAAAACCTTCATTCTTTCATTATTCACAAAATGACCAGAATTTTGTGTGGTCTCTGTTACACATTGAGGTTACCTGCAAAATGACTCTGTGACACTCAAAGTACATACAAAGAAAGTTCTTGCTGAAAAACATATCAAAACCAACAGCACTGATTTCAGATGGCACAAAAAAGCAGCTGTTGATTCCTGATCTTGTAGCAGGTTCAACGCTGGGCCGCTCCTCAGTTGAGGGAATGGCTGACTGAACTACTGAAATCACCAAACACTGAGGCCTATCAAAGTCCATGTTGGTCCTGACTCATTTCTTCCTCCTCACTTTGGGTTTCTTGACCGGCCTGAGGTATGGATTGTCAATCATGTTGTCCTCGTTGGCCTTGGTGGATGGAACAGCACCGCTTGGGGGAAGCATGGAGTTCTCTTTGTCAGCACCTGGATCATCCTATGTGAGGAGAAGCCATGACAACATTAATTTCAATAAATTAGGTGTAAGGAGTCATACCACTGATTAACAATGAAGCTGATCCATCAAAAGTATCTGGTAACCAAAATTTAAACAATAAACACTCCAAACATTGAAAACATTGAAAACAGAACTCCACAGATCTACTATCAAATACATAGTGTCATAAAATGTTGTTAAACTTTTAAAAGGAAGCATTGCAGAGTGAATGTCTCATACAGCATGTTATTTTCATCCTGCAATAGGGGTGGCAAAGGGACATTTACTTCTATGAACATTACATTTATAGTATTAAGACTATGAACACACAGACAAAGAGACACGCAAATCTAATTATCTAACCTTATTAATTTGACTAGAAGAAAAACACTCTTTCCTCTCCCATCTTCCATCAAAGTTGTAATTTTAGCATTGCTGTTCCGCCTTACCATGATATATACCATTTATCATATATTGGCGAGCACTCATTCTCTGTTTGCTTTAGACCTTTTCAAATTGAGCAAACCTTTATGGTCTTATGATAATAATACTGTGGACGTATAAATATACGTGATACGTAAATATATACTTAAATATAACACTGGTGCTATGGCTATAGCTAATAAGAGTTAACGGGTAGTTATTGGATGTAGATATAACACCACTGTGCACAAAGCTGTGACTGACCAGAGGATAGGTCAGCAAGGCCCAGAATAACTGATTTTTCAATTAAAAATACATAAACAGTATTATATTCAAATGTTCATGAAGATGGATCCCCGCTTCAACACAGCTGATTTGGTTAAATACACCATTAGTAGCTTGTACAACACTTAATCTGTTGAATAGATCCATTTAACCAGAATAAAGTGTATTGAAGAAGGAAAACATCTAAAAACCCATAGCACAGCGGCCCTTGAGGATCAGGTTTGGATACCTCTGACTCAGAAAGTGATATTGTGTCTTGTACATTTTCATATACTAAGAGCCTGATGACAAAAATATGTGAATGCGATAGAATAGATTAACCTATGAGCAATAAATGGCTTCAGAGCATAAGACGCCATATTCCAGCTTACGTTGTTGATGTTTCCGGCCGCGTTCTCTGCGTCGGTCTGGTCGTCCTGCTCGGAAGAATCCGTCTCCTCCAGACTCTGCAGTTCCAGCTCTGAGGGCAGCAGGGCACTCAGATATGGGATGGTGCTCGGTCTTGCTGCGATCACTGCCAACAGTTACAGTTGACTGTTAAACAGGGAACACGTGTAAGCTTGGGCACGTTAACACACTAAACATCCCGGTAAAGGTCATTCACATGGGAAGGCGGTGATGTCGTCTTTGAAGAGGCTCTGAGTTTCTCCCGTCTTGGCCATGAACCGTGTGAGGGCTCGCTCCACATCTCTCCTTTGGGTAGCTGCCTTCTCCCGCACCACCTGATATTCCGACACAGGCTCTCTGAATGTCTGCGGGAAGGAAAACACACCTCAGTGAATTCGGATTTCATACAGTATACAAAACTGACAAAAAGCTCTTCTGTGTGTAAAAGATTTTTCAATTTTCAAAATGGGACACCACAGAAAAAGTTCGAGAATGAATGCTTTGCTGAAATAGGTTGTGACTCACAGGTGTTTTGATGTAGGTGTGAGGGTCAGGGAATTCGGGAAAGTAGCCCGGAATGTGAGCGGGGTGTGTCCGTTTCTGTCCTGCTGATAGCGATTTAGGCGTCATAGGTGCATTCGTCACTGGAGCTGAAGTCAAGAGCAAGATTAAAAAGTATTGTAAATCAACTTTTTCAGCAGCATTATTAAAATAAAATTACTAACTGTCCAGAGGCTTAAAAGAAGCAGACAAAATGTGTACGTACGGGCAGTTATTACCATCCTCTGTGATCGTTTGGCATACACAGGCAGAGTGTCGACATTGAAACCTGAAGTGACACAAACAGTTTAAAGTTAAAAATGTGTTGGCTTTGACGAAAAACACGGGCTGGTGTCCTTTCTGACCATACCCATTTCAATGAGTGTCATCACTGTGTCAGACAGGGTTGGAACGCTCCTGGCTGTGTGCTCACAATATGCTTTAGCACATCGACCGATTTCAGTTATGTCTGGAAGAAGAAGAGATTCAACTTAACTTCAGCCAGTTCCACACTTCTGTTTACAAGGCAAATGATGGATCATATAATAAACAATTCAATTTTCTAGCAGCAATAATAATTAAAAAATAAGGTTGAAAAATTAAATGTAGAACTTGAGTTGAGAAGCGTAAGATAGGCAGGAAGTCAACCTAGAATAGGAAATAGGAGTAATTTATTCATATATATTGGGGTGTAAAGTTATTTAACAAAACTGTCATCTTTCAAATTGATGATTTTGTCTGTTTTTTTTCCTTTGTCATTCAAAAAGAGTAGTACATCTGTTTTTGGAAGTAAAGCTCCAGCTTCAGTTTACTTTTTACTCAAATGCTACATTTTTTTAAAGGCAAGTATATGACAAGTTAATCAAGAATAACCTGTGGTTCCCTGCAGAAGACATGGAGTTGATATTGAAAATATAGCAAAAATATTCAGAGGAGTTTAAAAACATTGATCCCTTCATACATACAGCTCTGCATCATCTCGGTGAGCGTCTCCACTGCTGCCTTCTCTGCACTCTCAAAGCCATTCTCGGTCAGCAGGGCACTGACCACTACTTGAAGGGTGCGACGTCGAGCCAGGTGGTAGTTCTCTGAGGGACTGGGGGCAGCTTTAGCAGAACTCCCGCGCTAAGAAGGAGGACAACAGAAAAAAAAAAAGGAAATTAACAACTGCCACTACCTTTAAGGGATCAAAACGTCTTAAATAAGTTGTAAATAATAGATACACACGACCTCTTTTTTAACGACTGGCTTTTAAGTTTATCTCCAGTGAAGTTTAGTAAAAACATAAGAGAAAAATATCTTAAGATAATGTGAGAAAACTGACGTTTAACCAAATTAGAGGGCTATGAACGATTTACAATACAGACGCTGAAGTCTTAAATAAGTTTTAAATAAGTTATCAATAATAGATACACACGACCTCTTTTTTAACGGTTGGCTTTTAGGTTTATCTGGTGAAGTTTAGTAAAAACATAGAGAAAAATATCTTAAGATAATGTGAGAAAACTGACGTGTAACCAATTAAGAGGGCTATGAAAGGTATAGAATTCAGACGCTGAACTTTAGCTATCCTTACATAACCCGGTAAAGAAAATCAGTTTTCTTTTGCACAAAATAAACCAAATTTGACTAATTTTATCCGGCCGATACATCTCAGAAAGCGGAGGTTAGCTCCCTCAATTTGATGTGAAAGCTAGCTAAAGCAGCGTAAAACTTGAGGCTTTCCGCTAAAGGGGCTGAACATAAAAGACACCCCTTACCCCGCTTGTATTCAGTGCCCCTCCCGAGGCCACTGCTGGGTCCGCCATTTACACTTTTGTCTATTTAGCTCTCTAGGTTGATTTGTTTTTGCATGAAGATAACTTTATTTAATCGACAGGCAGACATCGCTAATAATAAACATGGTACAAATAAATGACGTAATTTCCGCCGTATGAGCGGAAGCTGGAACAACCACCCGTTCAATTGAATGCTGCCCTCTTGTGTCTATGTTTAATATTGCGCTTTCTAAATAGGCAACATTTCTCTCTTTAAATGGCGGCTGCATGCGGTTCAGCTGCAACTTCATTCACACGGGAAGGCGGTGATGGCACCAGACCAGCATATTGTTTTTAAAAGAATAAACTGATAAATATGCACCCCCTGGCACATGTTGGTGCTCCACCCCACTTACTGAAAGGCCAGTACATGAAAAAAGGAGGTGTGGTCTGGTCAAAAATGTTTGTCAGAGCTCTGAATATGCTTCAAAAATCGGTTTAAGAAATCACATTTCCATAATGGTTCGGTTTCTAAACGTCACTGCAAGTATCTCCTTTTTAATGTGTTGTATGGGTGGATGTTGCAGCTAGTTATGGGCAGATGAAGCCTCATGAAGCATTGGTGCCTTCCATCCAATTGGTTCACTCCTGCACAAAATGTCTTGCTTCATTTGCTCTAATAGGACCTCTACTGGATGCAGAAATATCAGTTTGCATTTGAAGTGTGTGGCATTTTGCAGAAAGCCTGTAAATAAAACTCAGCAAAATAAAGAAGCATGCAAAACATGTCAATTGTAATGATGACACTTTACTATACAGTATATGAATATATGAAAAGTCCCTGGCTGTGATATTGGGATTTTAAATAGTATGTTTTTCGACTAATAAATTGTCTGTATTGATTTCAGTACCGTCACCTTTTATTGAACATCCGTGGAACAAATGTATTAAGTCAGAACCCTTCTGAACATTACATTGAATGAAAACAATACGACAGTAGTACGGACTGTGAATGCAACACTGGGTTACCTAGCAACGTTAAAGCCACAAGTCACCAAGTTGTGTTTTGACGTTGTATGAGTAGAATTAATATTCTGCAAGCGTGACTGTTTCCAAGAAGCACGTATATTTAACCTTGCATGTACGAACCAATAACTACTGATTCCATCATTACATTCAAACTCAAAATTGATTTCAGTGGACTCCTCACAAACCCACCAGAGGGATCACATAGTGACGTCATCCACAGCCAAAGAAAAAGAGCAACAACAGCATCCTTTGGAGTTTCGTGGATAAGAGAAAAACCATTTACTACTCAGAAAAAACACAACAATAACTGCAGTTGTTTTTGTGCTCTTTTGTTTTTACGCACTTTGCATTGGGAATGGTTTGATGTTATTACCCAATATACCCCTTTATGGCAAAACAAAGGGAAAGTGTTTTGGCTCTCCCCGGCATTTTCATTATTTACTAGGTAGATTTTATTTACTTTCAAGGTTAAAATCAATTTCTGGTTCTTATTTATTTATTTATTTATTTATTTATTTATTTATTTATCTATTTATTTATTTATTTATTTATTTATTTATTTATTTATTTATTTATTTATTTATATATATATATATATATATTTATTTATTTATTTATTTATTTATCTGTTTGTTTGTTTGTTTATTTATTTGTTTATTCTGGCCCACAAATATGAGTGGCCCTGGTTTAAGATTGTCTTGTTGTGGTAATAGTGTCAAACTAGGGTAGGTTTTACCTAGAAGTTCAGGTCTGTCAAACTGGTTGCTGTTTGGTATTTAAGAAGTGGACCACATAATATGCAGAATTGAAGGACATTACAGGGTAGCCTTTAATCTCAAGTGAGATTATAGATGGTCTTTAACAATGGTGTTATCTAAGAATGGTATGAACATTATACATCACTAGGAGAAAGAAATGGGTGACTGCCAGTCATATATTTGTGGTATTTTTTATTGTAATCTTCTTGCTAGTTTTATTAAGTATTTCAATAAAGTAGTTTTCAATACTTCATAACAGGCATTATTGTTGATACATGTGTTTTGTTGTCTTCTTGTTTGAAATTGAAATCTAAATCTAATTTGAGGTTTTAAATTGTATGTCAGTTTAAAAGTATGTTGCTGTTTAGTTTTCTTCTTCTGAAATATTATGAGGAATATAGTCATGATAGACACATCTCTCTAAATCATCTGTCATCACAGATTATAACCAAACCATGATGGACTTTTTTTGTTACCACCAGAAGCATCTTTATTGAAGTGCAAAATGAATTTAACCACACACACATTCATCACATCTCATACAAAAGCATCTGCCGCCCAGCAGCCTGACCATACTGTATCCTGCAGTTATCAGTGTATCACCTATCTCACTCGTTTTGCCATCAACAGGAGAAAAATTTACATTTCAACCAAATCCAAAATAAATTATTGAATAAAAATGGACCAGTTAAACACTATGTAAATTCACCTCCAGTACCAACACTTTATGTGTCCATTTACACAGTTTTCTTTAGTTTTCTTTAAGAAGCGTGTAAGCGGTTGGCGGAGCTTCTTTGCACAGCAGTCCCAAAATGTTTCATCTTGGTCTCTGACAATACTGTGCCCAGCATGTTTTCAGCATCAATATGAAGCAAGGCAGAGTGCGATTTCAGCAGCTGCTTCCTTTCTTTCTTCTTTCCCATGAGGAGCTTGTCTTGCTCATCCTCAATACGATCGTCTGAAGAGGGCAGGAAAACCATTTCCACCAATCCACCAACCATTCCGAGCATTGCCAGAGTGGAACCAAGTAAGTAGATCTTCATCATGTTGCGGTTGGGCCTTTGTTTCAGCATGTCCTTCACGAATGGGATGATGTCGTTACTGTTTTCCATGTTCTGATATTTTATGACTTTGCTGAAAGAAAGAAAAAAAAAATTACTCATAAAGGACTGCCTACCAAGAGGTTTGGTTGATTCTTACAGCAGAATTCCTGCAAATTGTTGAAGAGTCACTAACCCTGTAATGCCAAATGTATCATATTTTATACATACTGGTTTCTGAAATGTTTTGCGTCTGACACCTTTTGCATAATTTAATGGTAAAAACTTTGCTCAAAATCCTATTGTACACAATCAGATATACCTGACAACAGGGAGCAGAAGACTGCACAAAAAATAATCTTTACTTATCGCATAGTAATAAATTATTAATATTAAAAATGTATTTCTGTTTTTTCTTTTTACATATTTAGTTAAAAGACCAAATAAAGACTTCAAACCAAAAAAAAAAGAAGTAATTTTCTGTTTTGTTTTATTCTTGGATCAGGCTTTAAAGGGTTAACTCATAAAGGACTGCCTACCAAGAATCAAGATTTGATTCTTACAGCAGAATTTCTGCATATTATTGAAGAGTTATTAAGTAAATGAAGAGATACTCACTTTAAAGTCCACACAAAATCCTTGACTGTCTGTCAGTGTTGGCATAAACCATGCGATCGCAGGCAGAGAGGCAGGAGCAGACTCGGACATTTAAACTGTAGTAGAAACAAGTCCACGCCCATCGTGCATAATCATGGGGGCTGTTCTACTGTTATTGCTATCTAGAGACGGATACTTCTTTGTGTTAAAGGGCATGAGCTTGTGGAGCAAATAGTGAGACTGAGACCCCTGTGTGATAGGGTGCATGTGACAACTTATATGTGAAACAGTAAACAAAATGAACGTGCTCACTTACTGTCACTTACTATCTATAAGGAGATAATCACGTCGAAATGGACAATGGATTTATTATACTGCATATTGAACAGCATGAGTGAGTTTCTTCCACGTGACTTCTGCATACAGTATCTTCCAAATGACAACTTGGGCAGTGTCCAATGGCCACATTCTGGCCACACATGGAGAACCCCCTTATTGAACAGTGACAGATAAACTGTACGAGGAGATAAGGTTTTTTTAGACAACCCCCTGTATCATGCAGGCTCGAAATGCTGTCTGCAAACTGTGAGGACAACAGACAACTGGGGTTTGCATGTTTGCGCGTTTGTTTGCGCCATCACCGCAAACCCTGCGCTCTTTGACCCAGATCGCGCTACTCAGGAGAGAGACAGAGAGAGAAAGGGGTGAAATCAGGCGAGTGAGTTGGGAAATGTGTGTCTGATCTTTGTCACAGAGAGACGTGTCATGGAAATGGCTGTGCCCGGGTGAACCATCACACCAGATCACGCACGACAAGCGCACAAACATTTGGTCCAGTTGTGACCTTTGGCCGTGGGAATGACGCCAACTTTTCCTCCTCTCACATTCGTCCAGGCCGAAATGCACCATTCTACTATTGAAACTCATTAACACATCTTTATTGCTCGTATATCAATCCACCGATATAATGTTTCTTGTGCAAGACAGTAAATAAAAGTGCATTTACTCTAAGTGCACAACTATTACAATTGAGACACATCCTTTATGATGCTGAATCGGGGTAAAACTCACTATTATGGCTTTATCAATGGAAAATGGATGTGGTCTCATCCTTCAATGAAAAAGCATAATAGGAACTGTAAATAAAATCCACCCTAAATTCAGGGATCTGACAGCTCGTGATAAGAGAAAAGGTTTCAAATTTTGTCAAGTTAAAGATTCTTAAAGTTGAAAACAGTAACTATGTTGATTCTAAAGGTGATTCTGCATGCCACCGAATAAGTTAGTGTCCTTGAATCTTCACACATTTCTGTAGCCTGTCTGTGGGTTACTGTTTAACAAATGATAGGATGTAAAACAAGATTGTAGTTACATCATTTCAGATCCTGCTTAATCCACGTGGATCTTGTTTGTATTGAGTTCTGATGCATATATAGCCCTATAGTTCCAAAATGGTAGGGTTTTTTTTAACTTGAAATTAAATACTATATGTATTTTTTTGTGACAGTATGGCTTTGCAGTGGAGAAGTCCAGGAGACAGGTTAGTCTGTTTGTAGACATAGTTGCCAGATTTTTAATTTTAATCAAAAGAGCTGGGATACAATTATGTTATATGTGTTATTGTTAATAGAAAATTGGCCTATTGGATCAGAAAATCCATGTTGTGCACATATGTGGTACCAGTGTGCTCCTGTTTATAATTAGCACAGATTACATTTTGGCATTTACAAAGAATAATAGGTTTCATGGTCACTTATTACAGTTAAAATTTAACAAAATGACTCACAATTCCAACAGTTATTATTGAGGAGATGACAGGTTAGCTTTTGAAACATTGGTGTTTTTTATTTTGCCATGTGCTAAACAGTTGTGAGATTTAACTGCCAGTAAAATCACTCTGCTTATGCTCTCAATGTTCCTTTTTTGAGCAACTCACTTCTGGGCATTTGCATTGGCAATCACTTGGAAAAAGTTCAGCTTGTTTGGAGACCTTTCCCCCATATTTCAGTGTTCAGCTGCTTAAAAAGACACTGGACCAAATCAACCACACGGTGGTTGAAGAGAGGAGGGTTTATATAGACCAGATGTGAAACGTTTTTTTAGACAGCTCACAGTAGAAAAGAGCAGGAGACAAAGTTTATATCATTTTTAGATAATTAAATTAAATACTTTACAGTTAAGGCTACATGTGTTCTAAATCTTTGCTGAAGATTTTTGCTAATAATTCTGAAAATGAGATCTTTTAAGAGGACAGATTGGATTTCTTCTGGCTAGCAGTACTTTGTTCTGTCTAAAACCTTATGCTCTAAATACAAAGCTCTCAGTAATCCTCCTTGCCATGGAAGCTAATGTGACCACAATTCCATTGAAGTACAGGCAGGTAATTGGCTTGGAGGTTGGTTTAATTGAGGACACAAAGTCAGGTCATAGAATCGGGTTAGAGATCTTGAGATCCTGAGGTGCGGAGGTAAAGGACCAACAAACGTATAAAAACTAATAACAAAAAAGGTGAGAATAGTTCATGGATAGTAATCATCAAAACACGTCTTAATTATGTACAGCCTTTATTTCTGTAATTCCAGCATGATAAAAACAATACAAGAACAAAATCTGTTCCACCCATCGGCCAAAAAGTAGCACACAGATGGAGAAACAAAAAGCAGCACTCTGTAAAGTGAGTCATTTACAGTAAGACAATAAAACATCTGTTACAGACATCCATATTTGATATTCTAATGCGCTGAAGGCATATGAGAGCTACACATTGGCAATTATGCAAGTACTTGTGGCATTATACTGTAATCTTTTTACTTAAAAATGTACTTTTTCTTTAAATCATTGCAATTTTTTATGTTTTTTTTTTTTAAATAAAGAAAATAAACAAAAATCAGAACCAAAAAGAAATAAAAACAAAGGGAAACTCTGTTAACTTTAAATGTTACAATTGAATAGCTTATTGGAAGTAACAAGATTGTCGTTTGATGTTTTTCATGTATGTAAGTTGGTTTTATAATAATGTTTTATATAATATGAAGCATTATAATACTTTTGGCCTATTGTGTGTTCTTTTTTTTTTTTAAATTAAAAACAACAAAATACCTTTAATATTGCCCCCCAGAGAAACTGAGCTGAAGGTGTTTTTATGAAAGCAAATGGTTCCTGATTAAAACAATACAAAACAAGCAAAAAAAGGGGAATAAAGGAATCAAAACCTTAATGGGCATTCCGTTTATAACATAAGGTCACAGACTGTCCTAAGTCCAGCTTCAAGCAAGGGAAGCCCATCATATCTCCCTCAAAAAATGTCAAATGTGGAACTGAAAGGGGTATGCGAGTTGAATTTGTGCGACCATGTGTGCAAACTTTAAAAGTTTCACAAACTGCGAACCACACAGACCACTTGGATCCACTGTAGCATCAAGTCCTCTCCGTACGAGGAGCTACAGACAGTGGTCATCTGCATTCTGAGTCCAAATCTCAGCACTGACCTATAGAGGACAAAAACACATACGGTACGTTGAAAATAAAAATAGCGAAAATTGCACAACAAACGTAACATTCTTGAAAAAAACCTTTACATATGGTCTATATTTCTGTAAAATATCATGCTTTGCCCTTAAGCAAAGCATAATTAAGCTTTAAATTAACTTACCAAATAAAATCTTCATTTCATGAAAACATTACGTAGCATTCACATGACAGAACAAACTCCAGTCTGTAAATTCTTTCCATTACGATTTTTAGCGTACCTAAGAAGAGAGAAGAGAAAATAGACAAAGTTTCACCGTCAATCAGTCTTCTGATGAATTCAGAAAGTCAAAATTCATAACAACATTTGGTACAAACCCGTTCAGGTTGGCCGGCTCCGAGTGGTAGACGTGCTTTCCCTGCTCGGCCATACTGGGCGCGTGGTGACCATTGACCTGGCTCTGACAGGCCTTCAGCGGGTGGCAGTGGCTCTTCAGGTCCACGGGGCTCACGGGCAGGGACATGTGATGCGTCCCGTTCACGTTCCCGTTGATGTCGGGATCCGTCTTGTCCAGGTCGAGGGGCTTGGGGGGTTTGGCCGCGGAGGACGCGCCGATCACTTTGATGTCCGGCACGGTGGTGGGCCTCAGGGCCAGCTCCGTGTGGGCCAGGTGCAGCTTCTTCATGTGGTTGATGGCGACAGTAGCATTGAAGGCTTGCTGTTAAAACCGAAAATAAGATAAATTGATGATCATCTGTGATGTTTACCGTACATTTCATAACAATCCTTCTAAATTACATCTTTACATTTTAAAAACATGCTATTGTTTTAGCGTCATGTCTACGTAAGGTTCTCTTTCTATATCATAGGCTTTGACAATTACATTTAATCTAAACTTTTCCTAATCTTGAAGGATTAAGGTTAAGATTAAGTTAATCTGCTATAAACTGCAGATCGTAAGCAAACAATCTTATTGCATCAAGTTAAAATACAAAACAAATAGTGCACCTTCCACTTGGACTGGGCAAAGTTCTTCTGGATCTGAGTGCTAACAGAATAGTAGATGTCCTGGCTCCGGGCAGTCTTTCCAATAATCCTAGAAAAAAAAAAAACACAATTTAACATTAATTTTGAATTATTCTCACAATTGAGATTAGAAAAAATGGTGTCAACTAGATGCCCACTTCTAATTCCTAAAACCTAGGTGTGATTTAGTGTCTGTAATGTGGAGTTATATCTTCATAAAGCTAAAGTGTCACTCACCAGGGATGTCTGAGCGCTTGGTCTATTGAGTAGCGCATGTTGGGGTTTTTCTGCATCATATTACGTATGAAATCCTTTGCTACAGAAAAAAACAAAAAAACAATTTAGACCAAAGAAGGTTCTCTAGGATTCAAAACAGGTCTGTGTTTATGCTTTGTAATTTTACCAGATTCTGATATATCATCCCAGAAGGGTGAATCAAACTCGTACTGCGCCTTCATGATTTTGGCAAAGAGTCTTGTTTCGCTCTCTTCATAAAAAGGGGGATATCCACAGAGTCTGCATCGAAAAGAATTGACACATTATACGTTAGGGTATCCAACAAAGTGCTTCACAATGTGGCGTATGGGTGCGGAAAAATGATGTAACATTTGGAGCAGATACTTACAAAATGTAGGTAATAACTCCAATAGACCAGCAGTCCACTGCTTTGCTATAAGGCTTCTGTGCAAGAACTTCAGGGGCTAAAAAAAACACAAAAAAAACACGTAAATATATAACACTATGCAAATAGTCCATAGCATATGCACAGAAACAAATAGGTGTGCTATCATGTCTATTGATGCACAGATAAGAGCACGTGTTTATGATAGCATTTGCTTAAACAACTTCAAGTATTGTGTGTGTTTCAATTCCACATTTTGAGACATTTGGCTTCTTAAAAATTGCCAAGTTTCCTTACCGACATATCCTGGGGTGCCACATGCTGTAGACATGATCCCATTGTCCACCATCTTTGACAGACCAAAGTCACTGATCATGATTTTGGAGTCTTCGTCCTGGCTGTAGTACAGAATGTTCTCCGGCTGAACAGGGAGAAACAGACACAAGACGGATATTTTATTTTAATTTACAAATGTACTTAGTGAACTTGAACTTCTTCAAGTGTTACTTCACCTGTGATGGAAAAAAAATACTGAAATATCTGGCTTTTGAACTGTTAGTGGAAATATAAAAGCAAGACAAGCTAACAGCAAACTTACAGGGGTGTATAATATATATATATATATATATACATATATGAAACATTAACCCAACGATTTGGTAGAGCATTTTTCACTGATTAAACTTGGTTAAAGGATATGACCAAGTTTTGGTGAATGCACTAAAGGAAGCCACTTACTTAAATTAGCTCTAAAATAAACTTTCTCCTGCTCTGTTTTGTTTATTTGCCCGCATGGCGAATCAGTGCTTCTGAATGAATGATGAAAATAAATAAAAACAGGATAGTCATGAAAACAAATGTACATTATGTCATACCTTTAGGTCACGATGCACGATGCCGTTTTGGTGCAGGTAGCCCACAGCCTGCAGCACCTGCTGGATCACCTTGCTGGCATCCTTCTCAGAGTACATCCCCCGGTCCAGAATCCGGTCAAAGAGCTCACCACCTGAAACCCTGACAAGGACATACAACCACCATCAAAATGGGATATGAGCTCGCATTTAGAATTAGAAACTGTGATCATTTAAATTTGCGATAGAAAAAAATAGATAACTCACAGCTGCATGATGAGATAATAATGAGTCCGGCTTTCATAGAAATCCTCCATTCCCACAACATTCTCATGCTTGATTCTGTTTTTAAAAAAAATAAGAGGAGCTTTCAACATGACCTGTTTCAATTTAGATAATAACCAATGACAAAAGCAATTCAGGAGGATTCAATTGCTGCTAAAGAACCATGAGATTAAATACAATAACTGAACTTTTAAATTACCTTCTCAAGACGGTGATTTCATTTTCCAAGTTGATATCGCTTTTCTTTTTCTTCTTCACGCACTTCATGGCAAATGTTTTGCCCGTCTTCCTCTCCCTCACCATGTACACTTCAGAGAAAGCCCCCCTGTAATTGAACACGATGAAAATGATGAGTCACATGAGTTTGTGGTCTGTGATTGCTTTTTGAAAAAGTACAGGAGGAGAAAACCAATAAAGGAAAATGTTCACTTCCTTGGGGGCTATAAAATACAACAACTTGACACAGACTGTGAGCCTATTTGGGGAAAATGATTTTTCCAAAACCATCAAGGTATTTACAGCTACTTGCATCAGCTTTTGAATTTACAATAAAACTCTTGTTTGTTCGAATCTAAACTTTCATTTGAATGTTGCCTTGTTGCATCACACAGGGCTTAATCAATCTTCCTGATCGCTTGGAATTAGGCAGAAATAGCAATATCACTGGGTGAAGATCTGCCAAGGATCTCTGAGGCTTAACAGGTCAAAAGCTTATTATTCTGCTCTGTAATGTTCTGTACTCATGCTATCTTCAGCACAGTCTGGGAATAGTTGTTCCACCAGGTGGATTAAGGCCCTTTATCCCTGACGCAATGGAAACCGTGGCCGGCCGGGGATTCGAGGCACAAAGCTCAGACGCTAAGCGTGAGCTGGATCCATCCTGAAACAGATGCACGACAGGCCGGGTCACAGGTGTTTAATGCATTTCTTTATGATAAAACTGAATATGGCTATGTTTATTTTCAGTTTTATGTTCCAGTTTGTTTGTTTTCTCAGTTTAAAGGGCCTTTTTCAAACTAGATTACACACGAATAAACTACCTGAACATATCCTAACAGCTCTTTATATTCCATTGATTGGTTACTGGGCATAATTATAAATTTGAAATCATCTTTATGGAAATGTTCCACCCCTTAAAGGTATCTGAACTATTTTTCTCTTTCTTTTTAAAACAAAAATGGGGGCAGATGGGGACAATTAGAAGTAATCCTTGTATAAAAATGTGTATTTTTTTAATTCAAATGTGATGTGCCTCTTTGGTTCCTTCTTATACCAATTCATTTATAGAAAACCATCCATCCATTCATTATCGTAGCTGCTTATTCCCTAATGGGGTTGCTGGGGGAACTGGAGCCTATCCTTCTAGAAAACAACTGGGAGATCATTTATTTGTGACTACGCCTGCAGGAAACGACTGTATTTTACGTTCTCTCAGTCCCCTTTTCCCCTCTGGGTTGTTTAGTCGAAAAACAGGAAACAGGAAAACAGGAAACTAACTTTTACACTAGAAAATATTCTAAAAATCTTCCACAAAAATGAAAATCTAGTTTAACAGATGAGCCAAGAAGGGACACAATTGCTTTTTTCCTTTTTCATTTTGTGACATCACACCAAAAGTCAGACTCTTTCAATAAATAAAGGCATCACAAGAGATTCCATGTGTAATCACCCATTTGACAGCGAAATACAGACCATTGTTTTTCAAGCCATTTGGGGAAATAAAAGTGTTTTTAATTGCTTCTCTATAATTGAAGTTCTCACATACTGTACTCCGGACAGCCATGACTAATACACAGTCCAATCATCGCTAATGTATTAAGCCCAAACCCCCCCACTTCTGACAAAAACCCTAGGCTAACATAACAACATAACAAATCCCACAACTAACTAGATAATAAAAAAGTATTAGTTTTATTTTCAGAGAAATATCTTTTTTTGGTCCATAACATGCAAAAATAACTATTTATTTTGCTAAACCTCTGTATGCAAACCTAATTTTTGAAAAGCAATGGTTACATTTAATATTTGTGGATCTATGCATTGCTGATGCTCTCCTCTTATTTTGCTATTTTTACAGAAAATGCTCTCAAGTGTATTGGGAATTAATTTTTAACTCAATCAGGAAGGTTAGAATAACACCTAAAGTAAGACTAACATCTCACTGTCTGCTGATATATGTCACATCTAACTGCCTACAGTTCTCTAGATGATCAATTAGTGGGGTCAGATGGAAAAATAATGGATGAATGTTAAATGTTGATTAAAATGCACTTACGTTCCCAACTCCTCCATCAGGTCAAAAACCTCTTGGATGTTTTCAGTCGTTTTCTTCCACACATAGTCGCCCTCTTGACGCCCCATTTTTGCAGCCGCTTTAGCAGGGATTTCTTTTGGCGTTAAGGGAAAACAAAAGACAGAAGCACAGAAGTTGCTTAGTTTCGAGGTTCCACAATGCTCCCGAAGACTTTGAGCTGGGTTCTGCATGTGAGGACGCCGGAGCAAAAAATAATCCTGGCTTTGTGTCTGCACACTCTCATCATAATAATTCCAGCCAGACAGTCGCCTGGGATTATTGGAGAGTCATTACCCAGCAGGTATGAAGGTTGATGAGTCTGCTCAGACTATCAGAGGGCAAGACTTTGTCTGGCAGACATAAGGTTGGAACGATAATCCCGACTGGAACTAGCTCACTGTAAATGAGTGTTGGTCTATACTAAATTAAGAAAGGATGGAAGGGATGACCTATTTTGTCCCATGCATTTAAAAGAATAAAAATGACCAAGTCTTGGAAAAAAATGTCTAATTATTACATTAAAAAACACACAAAAAACCCACAAACACATCAAGGCATCAGAGTTTGGAACAGGATGATGTGGCCAATACACTTGAATGTACTGTGACGGATTAAGAGCACTTTTAATGAGCAGGTTACCTAGTTTGGGTTCTTGCCCTCTTTTCCCTTATATAATGGATTAGTAACTCTTGATCCTGAGACCTGACCTTCTAAAAATACCAGATAACAACCTTAAACAACATATTTGAATGAAAAAAGAAGAGTAAAACTACCTACAATATGCACATTAATCTATATAAAAAAATTCAACACGAAATTGACGCAGGAACTTGCAGCAGTGACTCACATCCTCTGCAAAATGCAGTATTCGGTGTTATGCTGTCCTTTTTTTTAATTTTGTCAGTTATTATACCGATAAATAGGAGAACATAGATCATGACAACATCTGCTCTGGTGGTGAATAACAGAGGACAGCGAAAGGAGGATGCAACAGTTGCGCATCCTCCTTTCCTGCTTCGCTCTGCGGCAAAAAATAATGAAACAAATAACAGATTCCGATCAAGTTTGTGGCATAGGCTGCAGCTCAGATAAAAAATACTTGTAAAATGCTTGTAAAATACACAGAATTGGAGCGACCTCACATATAGAAAAGGGGGAAAAAACTGTGATTAAAATCTGCGCTAAAGACGAATAGAGTCAACAATGCGTAAGGATAAGAAGGAGATTCATTCACATTCCACTGAGACTTGAGACTTACCGAGAGACTCTGCGCTGGGGGAGCTCTGCTCTGACTCTCCTGACCAAAGCTGACCGGCGTCTGGACAGATTACTCCGTCTGAGAAGGCACAAGTAGCCGCTGTCACGTCGGAGATTACATCCATGAATGTGTCCGACGGGTGGGGGGGGG